GTGTGGACGTGCGTGTGTGAGTGGGGGGGGGGGGGCGAGGTGCGCGCGCGCGCACGCGTGGCCAAGCCACAGGCTGAGCGGGTAACGCAGATTGTCTGCAGACGCTGATCGATGAGCAAAAAGCATCCGTGCCGCGCGTGCACGCGACAGCCGCGCCCAAGGCGGCCGAACTGCTGTCCGCTGTCCCGCCTAAACTGGAATCTTCTGCAGCACACATCCCTGACCAGCGGCGCCGGCCCTGCCCCGCCGCCCTTCCACGGCCAGGGTGGCAAGGGACACGTGGCCCGCGCACCTGAGCCGAGCGCAGCAGCGCCTCCTTTGTGTCTTGGAGCTGCGCCTGCTGCCCCGCCATCAGCCCCTCCGTCGCGCGCTGCGCGCGCGCCAGAGTCGACGCGTCGTCCACGAGCGCGCGCACGACACCCTCAACGGTGCGGCCGTGGCGTGCCTGTGCGCGCACGTGCGCACGCGTGTGTGTGTGTGTGAGTGTGTGTGTGTGTTTGTGTGTTTGCGTGTTTGTGTGTGTTTGTGTGTGTGTGTGTGTGTGTGTGTTTGCAAGTACGTGCGCGCGACGCCCTCCACTGCGCGGCCGTGGCGCACGCGCGCCCCAGAGCAGTAGCGGCGACGCAAGCACAGATACCGACAATGAGGGGTGTGGAGGGGGCCAATGACGGGGCGGGAATTCATTTCAAGGCCCCTGCCCCTCGGCTGACTGAGGCCTGTGAAAGCACAGGTTGGGGTGACTGCCGCTGCAGTCGACCCACATCCCTGCACGGCACCTCAACACATGCAGAAAATGGATGGACAATATACAGCGCAGTGCACTATGGCATGCACTATTGTGGCTTCTGTACAGTCTGATGCCCAACCCAAAGCTTGAGAAGAACGCCGGTTTTGTGCGCACCTGCTGCCCCGCCAGCCCCTCCATCTTCTCCTCAAGTGCGGCCACCAGCCGCAGCGGCGCCTTGGGGGACGCTGCCTCGGACGCCTCGATCTGGGCCACCCTCGGCTCCAGTGCGGACAGGTCCGCGTCAACCTTGGACGTACAAAAGAGGGCAGAGTCGATCAGTTGAGGGCGCGGCAGAGTTCCAACACTGACACACGGACGGTGCCGGGTGTGTCAAACGCTGGACGAAGGGGGCAGGCGTTGGGTGGAGCCCAGCCGCAAGGGCGGCGAGGGCCAGCAGGCGCGGGGTGAATTTCATGGATCTAAGGGACGCTGGCTGGCTGCGTGCTCCTCTGCCCACAGGGCGCTTGCAGCAACTGACTTTGGGCAGACCGAAGACGCGCGGCCGACACCCCCAACCCCACGCCCGCAGCGCAAGCTGCAGGGAGCGCGGCGAAGCCACGCCCGCCCACCTTCTTGGCCAGATTTGACGCGGAGCACGCCTCGGCCCTCAGCGCGTTGCTCTCGCGCGCGAGGCGTCCCAGGTCGCCCGCCAGCAGCGCCCCCTGGGCGGCAAGCTCGCGCCGCAGCTCGCAGCAGCGCGCCTCAAGGGCCTGCGGGGAAAGGTGGGGGGGAGGGGGCGAGGTGCGGTCGATCGGCTCAAATCGCCTGGTAGACGCCACAAAAGGCTGAAGGCCAATTTGCATTGACAGCCGTGACAGATCCCGCAGCCCTATACTGAATCGATGCTAATCAGCAAGCAAGATGGTGCAGCTGTCGCCGTCCGCCCGCACCTCGGGCGTTGCCCGCTTTGCAGCCACGCCGCCGCTGCGGAGCCTGACGAGTGGGGCTCTGAACCCCTGGCGGGACCATGTGTCCCTTCTGATGGTGCCCTCTGCGTGGCCCCCCTGTCGCCCCTGTCTGCATCCTTCACCCCCATTATCGAGATACACACACACACACACACACACACACACACACACACACACACACACACACACACACACGCATACACGCATACACTATGCACGAGTGCACGCGTGTGCGCGCACTCACACACACACGCACCTCATCAATCATGGGCGGCACATGGCGCTGCACGCTGGACGACACCAGCCCGGGCACGCATTCTCGGATGCTCTCCCCTGCAATCTCCTTGACCTGTCAGACGCGATGCGGCGGGGGCAGGCTTGCGGCGATCGTGACCGCTTGACCGTCTCGAGGGTCCGCTGTTTGTGCTGAGAAAACTGCGTCGGCCACGAGCTCACAGCCCCCCTGCGCCGCGCAGCATGCTGATGGGAGCACCAACATAGCTGCAATCAGCAATTCAAGGCCTGTGTAGCCACTACCCACGGGGCCAATTGCAAACGTCCGCGTGCCAAAGGATGGTGACGCGCCATACTTTAAGTGTCCCCAAGCCCCGGCTCGACAACCGCTAACGGCCCTCCCTTCGATTGCCGCCCAACGAACACAGAAAAGCCGAGAAAGGCGGCCGCACCTGGCCCCGCTGGAGGGCGGTGAGCTGCGCGCGCTGCGCCTCCATCGCCGCCACCGCCTGGCCCTTCTCCAGCTTGGCCCCCTGCACCTGCGGGCCGGCGGCATTTGACCGCGGTTCAAGGCGTCCGCGGCACACACGCGGGCGTCCAGGTCGCGATCATGTTGACGGTGCCGTTTGACCGGTTTGACTTCGGTCTCATAACAGTCTCCTGGCGCCTCGACAGGTCTTTGCAGCGCGGCGGGCTGAGGTTCACATGTGCTGAACGTATCCGGCTGCGCCCGGCAAGCGCGTGCATCGGGCAAACGTGGTGATCCGATCTCGGTCAAGCTGCCGTTTGACCGTATCAGGGACCTGCCTGCAGCAGCTGCACCTCCGCCCGCAGGTCTGCCAGCCGCTGGTCCGCAGCCGCGCTGGCTGCACTCAGCGCAGCCACCTGCATGTTGCGCGCAGGGTGCGGGGCAGGAGGCGTGTGTGTTTGTGTGTGTGTATGTGTGTGTGTGTGTGTGTGTGTGTGTGTGTGCGCGCGTGCAGGAGCGGGGGCCGGCACGTGAGTAAGGCGGTGCGTGCATGCGCGCGCGCGTGCTTGCGGGAGTAAAGCGGGAGGAAGGGGTCAGAGCCGCGGCGGGCGGTGGGGCAGAGGCGCCCGCAACAGGGACGGCATCCCTGGGGGTGGGATGCCTTCAGCAGAAGATCAATGTTGGGAATGTGCGGTGGCCCTGGCCGTTGCTCAGCCGCACGGCGGCCCTGCAATAAAGTGTCCCCTTTTGCACCGATTCGGCTCACACAGCTGTTCAGAGCCAACCTCCATTCACCCTGCTGCCCCGCCGCCGGCGTGTGGTGTGCCGGCCGGCATACAAGCCACAAACCCCAAATCGCCCGTTCAACTGGGCACGAGTTTCGGCACGTGCGTCGACCCCATATTGACATTGTTGGGGACAAAGCCCCAGCGCCCCACCTGGCTCTCCAGGCCGGCCGTGAGCGCCATCTTCGCCTCAACCCTGTCCTCCAGCCTCCCCATCTCACACAGGCGGTCCTGATGAGGGGATCAAAAAAGCGAGGTGGGAGGGATAAAAAAGGGGGATGACAACGGGGGGATACAAAGAGGGGTTAAAGCTGCTGGGAATGGAATCTCCACCAGCAGGACGGCTCGGCAGGCCGGCCCACCCTTCTGGCTCCCCCTGCGCTGCGCATCCGGCGCGGCGGCGTCGCACGCGCAACAACCGTCACTCAGCTCTTCCCCGAAACAAGCCCGCCGCGGCCACCCCACCCCGCTCTTGCCCAGCGAACGGTGACGACGACCGGACGCGAGGGTGGCAGGCGGGCGTGCCGCCGCACCTGCACGCGTGCGTCGAGCGCCCGCAGCCCGGCCTTGAGCTGTGACGAGTCAGACTTGAGCTGGGCGCGCTCGCAGCCCAGCTCCTCTGGACGTTGCGACAGACGTAAAAGAGAGAATCACCGCATCCAGTCCCGGCGCGGCAGTAGATAGTGGGGGTGGGGTTTGCAAAAAGGGGAGGTTTTGACAAGGGTTCGCCGCCAAAAAGGGCGCTGAGGCCAGGCGCCCACCCCTCTTTGTGGGCAGCCGGGCGCAGCGCCAGACGCCGCTCTACTCTGGGCCCCTCTGGCGGCGCCCAGCAGACCGGGCCGGCCGGCCGCGCCCGCATGCGGCGCCCTTTCCCACAAGGGGGAATGCGAGCACCCGCCAGTACACGGGCGCACGGGCCAGGTGTCTGGCGCTGTGAGTGTGCTGGGCTGTGCTGAGTTGCAGCGGTGGGGCTGGCAGGTCTGCCGGCGGGCTGCACCCAGCTGTCGCGCACGCGCGTTTGAATCCGCCGCACCTATCTCCTCGAGGACGGCGTCGGCCAGCGACGCAAACGCCGAGTTTAGCAGCTGCACCTGCGTTGCGCAATTGTCAATTTTGCGGATACTTGAGGTAGGGGCCGGCTTCGATTCAGTCGGGGTGGCAATCACAATGTGGAATCTGAAGGAGGGCGGCTGTCGCCGCCGATGCCGCTCAACTTGCCACTGCCGCTGCCGCTGCGGCTGCCGCGGCCGCTGCCGCCGCTGCTGCCGCTGCTGCTGCCCCTGCTGCTGCTGCCCCTGCTGCTGCTGCTGCTGCTGCTGCTGCTGCTGTTGCTGCTGCTATTGCTGTTGTGCGACCCTACCGCCCGGCAGGCCGCAGGCGCGAGAGAGACCATGGGCCCGCGCGGCGGGGTCACAGCATTCCACCCCCGGAGACGAAAGTGCCAAAGTGGGGCAATCGAAGGGCGGCATTGGGGACACGCGGTCGCAAGAAAGCGGGGCGCTGACCTGCAGTGTGAGCTGCTCGGCCGTCTTCCGCCTCTCGTTGACTGCCTGCATGCCCTGCGCAGCCTGCAAAGCGCCGTCGCGGGGGGGGCGGGCATAACATGCAACCTGGGTTGCCCTGCCGCCCTCGCGTGCGGTGGGAGCGCTCGCCGTTGGTTGTAAGCCCTCAATCGCGTCCCTCCGTAATAACCAAAAGCGCAGGGATCTCCAGGTTTCCGAGCCGCAGACGGGCTCTGCCCTGGCAGGTGATCCGCCGGGCGGCGACGTTTGCGCCGGCCGGCTCGCTGTGCTTGAGAATACACACCTGCAGCTTCTCCACCGCATTCTTCAGTGTGCAGACAACTTTGGCAAGGGACGCCCGGCGCTCCTCCCCCACCGCCATCGCCTGGGCGCGCATCGAGGCGGATCAGGGGAGCGGCAGGGGCGAGAGAGCGCGGTGCATCAGCAGCATCAGCACAAGAACTGTCGGCGCAAGCGGCGAAGGCGGGCCGCACTCCGACGGCGACCTCAAAGGCAGCGTCGAATGACCGAACAAAGAATGCAGCAACTACGACATTCAGGCTCAGCGGTGACAAGTTCGCGTGTCTGACGAACACGAAGCGCTCACCCGGGTGGGCGAGCTCGGTCTGCCGTTGAAATTCTTAGACGCGAACCTCATCGGTGACTTTTATGCTTCGCGAATCACTGAGAGCAGAGCTGCAGCCCCCAGCCCCTTTCCCCACCGAGTCAATAGGTCAAACTGCGTAGCGCGTGCTGCTGCAGAGGCTTGTGTAGTGTTGATCGTCAAGATTCTTCGCAGGTTTTGCCAAGACAAGAACTGCATTCTGGCGGGCGGTTGCGGCACACCAAAGATACACACCGGTGCCTCCCGGGTGCCCCCCAACCCCTGCAGGCTGCAGAGGTAGGTGTTCTGCTGTCCCCGTGCGACATTTTGTGAAGCAACACACTTTCAGGTGCTCGCGCCTCGCATGCAGCCAGCTCTCTACTGATGGATTGCGTGCTGCAATGCTGTCCAACATCTGTGACGGCACTGTCTCGAGCCATCGAGCGGCAGCAGCGCCACACCCACTCGTCCATGCAAAATTACATGCCATGCATTCGCCATCACTGATGCAGGACATCCCATCCCTGGGATCCAGGAGGTGCAAGAAAAGAAAAAGGGGGCGGGTACCCCAGGAAGGCAGGGAGCATGTACTCAATCAAGGGTGGCTGGCTGGTATAGCGCTTGTCAGCACAACCCACCCTCCGCAGTGCTTGAATCTGTGCTATTTGTAATGGAAGCATGGTGCCAAATAACGGTGTGACGCCGAAATGCAGTGCCTTGCGCCGCGAAAGCGTGCAGGCCCACAGTCAGCAAAGGTGCTTACACAGGCTTGCAAGGTGGGAGCCGGTCAGCTGAAAGACTGTGTTGGGTAAATGTCAGGTGAAAACAGGCCAGCAAATGCGCGGGTGCGCGGCTGGCAGTGCGTTTGTAGGGTGGGGTGCATGTGACGACCCACCACCCCAGGTGCGCGTGCACCACACGTGGCCTCTGCCCCTGGACTCTGAAGGGGGTTGCGGTGGACGGCACGCCTGCACTATCCCTGCCCTCCTGGCCTGCCAGCGTAAGCAGGAGGACGATATCAGTTTTGAGGGGGGTGCATCTGCGTGTTGGTCCAACAGGTCCATAGCTGTACAAATCAAGGGGCCGCGACGGAACCATGTCGCAACAAGCTGCCGTTGCGGCGACATACGCTGCCCCCACCGGCGCGGGGCCCGCCTGTGCGCCCCAGGTGAGCGCCCAGGTGTCAGCTTTCCGCGGTCTTGCCCGCCATGCCGCTGCCGCCGTCGCCGCCGCCCCTGCTGCCGCCCCCCTGGCTGCCAGCAGCCTCCGCCAGCCGCTGCCGCAGGTCTGCTTGGTACCGCCGCTTGTCCTCCAGAGTGGCGTCCGATGGCTTCAGACCGCTGTACCGCAGCTGCAGAGTGAATCACAGAGGCGGGGCAATCAGGCGGGGCCGACGCGTTGACACGTGCGCGAGGAGCACGGCGCAAGGTAATGTTGGATTGTTGGGAATTTTGGAGACGCAAACGGTGGCGACTGCTCTGAGATGAAGCGAACCTACGCAGTAGCTGGCTCACCATGTACTGCCGCACATTTGCGGCATACAGCTTTGGGTCTTTCTGCTCGTCTTCGCTGGGGTAGTAGATCGGCAGCTGCCAGGAAGGCGCGAGAGCAGGAGGGCAGGTGCGGGGCGCGAGGGTTGAGAGGAACTTATGAGCAGGGAAGGGTTGCCATGCCAAGGCATTACCGGCACAAACGCAGAGGCCACGGCGACTGCCGCCGCTGCGGCTGACACTGACGATGCAGTCGCAGCTGCTGGCGCTGCTGCAGGTGCTCCTGGTGCTGCTGGTGCTGCTGCTGGTGTTGCTGCTGCTTTTGCTGCTGCTGCTGCTGCTGCTGCTGCTGCAGTTGCTTGTACAGCCACAATCTCCAAGCGCAAGCCCGGCGCCTGCGGCAGCACCAGGTCCCTTGTGCCCGCGCCGACTGGCGGCGGGCGCACAGCACAGGCTGCTGCAGCTCCCAGGCGGCGCACCTCGTAGCACGTCACAGAGTGGAACGGCGTCGTAAGCATCAGCAGCATGTGGCGCAGGGCGCTGATGCTCTCCCAGGCAGGCGACACGGGCCCCTGCGCACCAGGTGTGTTCGAGGGCGCGGTCGTCAGGGTCGGTCAAACCCTTGGCACCCATCACTGCTAGCTGCAGCCAGTGTTCGACGACCTTACTGCTCAATATCGACCCCATGATCTGCGCACAAAGCTGCGTCGACAGCACTCTGTTTTGCGCCGAACCGTCCTCTCAACCGCCGCACAACAATTGCTCAACCGGCATTCCTCTGTTGCCTTCGAATGCGCACCGCTGTGCTGGCTGCTGCTGCCGCTCCCGCTGCCGCTGCCAGCGTCGCCGCTGCTGCTGCCGCCTGCTGTTGATTGCACTGACATCATTGAATCCCCGTGCGCTGTCGCCGTCCCCATTCTCCAATCCGCACCTCGCCATACTTGATAATGACCGGCTGCACCGGCACCCCCGCCAGGAACGCCCCCGTCTTGAACGGCAGCAGGGACGTGCCGTTGCTGGTCGTCCCCTGGGAGGAGGGACGAGAGCGCACGAGCATCAAGCGCGCGCCGCAGGGGTCACCGAGCGCCGCGGTGCGGTGGTTGATTCCTGCATGGGCAGCCGCCGTCCTGCATGACAATCGCAAGCCTCCTGCAAGCCCCCTGAAGTTCTGGAAGAATATCAACAGACCCTAGCCATGCTCCGGCCATATGCCTTTCTTTGCACCTGCAGCGGCTCTCTGGCAGCAGTTCCCTGAAGCCCAAAACGCTCACCTCTGGAAACAGCAGCATCGGCCGGTGCTCCTCCTCCGGGTGCGCCCAGCTGTGCAGCATGCGCTGGCGCACCTGCTCCCCGACCCCGGCGCTGGCGCCGCCCTGCGAGAGCCCGCCGGCAAGGGATGGGAGTGATGGTGCCGTCGCTTCTTGCCACGTGCTGCTTGATCGCTGCGCTACTGTGCAAGCAATTGTGAATTGCTCGGAGCCGCGAGGTTTGGATGACAGATGCAGTTTTGCATCTGTCCAAGTGGCTGAGCACGCGTCCTTTGGAAGCCCACCATCAACCCACGAAGGCCCAACTGCAACCAAGACTTACCGTTGATCCGTTCCTCTTTTCCCGGTCCACGTAGATGCACTCGATGCGGCGACTGCAGCAGGGTGGCGGTGGCAGGCTGCCTGTCAGCGCCCTCTAGACGCCGCAGGTCGCGTACAGCGCCGCATCCGCCGCAGCCGCTGCAGCATCCGGCCCGGGGTTGCATGCATTCCTCGAGAGGCATGCACACGCGATGTACTCGCGGCGATGCACGCATGCGCTGGCGCGGGGGCATGCGCGCATGTCAGTGACTACGCGGGCGCACCTGATGAGCCCAATCATTCGAATGTCCTGCGTGCCGTCCCGAGCGACAAAGCTCGGTAGGTTGCGCGACATGTGTATGAGGATGTCGGCCCACCCAATGTGATTGGAAACGATCGCCACCTGCCACCGCGGCCTGTCGCCGAGCTTGGGGGAGCGCCGCTCCTCGCGCACTCTGCTGATGCGCACGAAGCCGAGCGCCAAGAGGCAGGCGCGGCTCCAGAAGCGCCCCCAGAACGCGGCGAGGCGCCGGTTGAGCACGCCGGCCGGCACAAACAGCAGGAGCCGCAGCAGAATGTAGTATGACGCCACGCACATCATTGCCGCAAGGAGTCGGCATGGCAAAAGCGTCACCGATAGCACCAGGATCCGCAGCGAGCTGCCGAAGGAAATCCGATGACCAGCTTCTCCATATTGATCATGTCTGATGAAGGGCTCAAACAAGGGGTCGCCCGGAGGCGGTGCGAGCGCCATGGTGTCCTCAGATCGATCGCTGCCGACCTTGATAATATATCAATACAAGCAATTGAAAGCTATTGGTCTCACACCAAGCGCTGTTCTGCGACCACGGCCCGGCTGGAATTGGCTGTGGCCTGTGTGACGCAGTATGAGCTCCGTTGCAACTTGATAAGAATGCAGGAACGTAGTGCGTTCTTGCTGGCCGCAGTTGTTGTTCCAGATGGCTGGTGTGGCCACGCCATCAGGCAGTCACCCACTCGAGTGCCCTCGGGTGTGTGCAATCAGCAGAAGCACAACAGGGCGGCAGAGAGTGTGGTGTTCCCTCTGGCTGCGCTCAGATATGAAATTACAACCAGAAGCAAAGTAGCTTCCGCAAAGAACTAAAGGAGTTACTGTGCGGCATTTGTTGGTGCCAATGAATTGCATCCGTTGACCAGTAGCGGTGCGGTCAAACCTGAGACCAACCTCGTTTGGATCCACGCGATTCAAATATTTCACAGGCCCCTGAATACTGTTTCGCTGATTCAATCATGTGACATGTCTCGCACGCCTCACACTGCCCCTTGTGCTCCAGCATGTGGCGTCTGCGCAAACAGCAGCTCAGGCGGCTGAACCCCTGCGCCACCCCAGGCCGAAGCGCAAGCATCGAATGCAACTGCAATGGACGGCACTGCAGATAATGGCAGCAGAGATCACCAAACGCATGTGCACAGAGGTCAAGCCACAGCCCACGCCAGCACGCGCAGCACGGCTGGCGTGCAGGCAGGAGCTGGGGCCAGTCCGGAGCACTTGGGCCCGTCTGTGCTGTGTGTTTGGTTGCAATGGCGTGCATCTGAATTTGCATGTGGATTTCATCCGATGGCATCTGCATGCCACTCGCGATCGGACGGGGCTCGCGCCAGCGTCCACCCATCTCGATTTGTGCAACCTCGCTCCCAGAGTGCTTTGGACCATGTTTGTGGATGTCGAAGCCATGTGCTGGATAGGGTACACAGAGCCGTGGCTTCATGGGGAGGATGGTTCCAGAGGCGAGCTGCATCATCTAAGGCAATCGTCCACGCAGCCGCCCAACGCCCAAACACTCCACTCACTAGTCATTCGCGCCTGCAGCCCAAAACAAGCACACCAAGGTCACTCACAGACATGCGCGCGAATACGACAGCAAGTTATCAACTGGATCATCGCAATATACATCGCCCAAGCACACTAAGCACCCACAACCACAGCTATCAAGCGAGGGGCGAAAACTCTGGCGGCGGCGTACTGGCCATGGGCCCAGTGGAAGGTGAGGCTCATCAGTGCTGCAAGACGGCGCATCCTATGCAACATCACTGTATTCAGATGGGTGTCAGGAAGGCCGCTGTCACATGTTCACACATTCTGCCACACCGATCGAGAAATTCTTTTGAGTTCGCGGCCCAACAACCTCTCTAAGAGTGCACAGTGGGAAACTATGAATTTTTGATAAGGATACCAGGATTTGGAGTATTTGAGCAGGCTGTCACGTCGTTCGACTCTGGCGTCGACGGCCACGTCTCCTGACACTGCTCCCTCCACCCTCGCCGCTCGCCGACCTGTCAAGAACAGGGCGGCGCATGTGCCGCCTGGCCGGCGGCCGCCATGGCAGCACATTGATGGTGGCCGTGCTCCTGGCTGTGACGCTCGCTGGCGCACGGGCAGGAGCAGCAGCAGCGACGGCGGCGGCGGCGCCGAGCAGCCCCGGCGGAGGAAGGCGACAGCTGCGCAAGCACCCCGCCGCCGCCGCCGACGCCGCCGCCCCGCGCTCGCGGCCTGGCGGCCGCTGCCAGCAGGGCGCAATTAGGCCAGCCGCAGAGACGGACGCGGCACTTTGGAAGTGGCTGGAGGGCGGGGGCGCGTCGATGGCGTTCGCGCCGGGATACTCGCCAGGGGGCGTTAGGGGTGGCTTTGCAACGAGCGACATACCCGCCAACGGCATGGTGCGGGGGGGCAACGAGTGTGCCTGCTCTGCGTCTTAAGAGCTGCGGCCTGGTGATGGGTCCGGTGTCTTTGTTGTTGAGGCACATGCGGGCAACAAATCGAGGGCCCGGCACTTCCCCTCGGGCCCTCCACGCATTCCGTGTTTGCGTTATCGTTGTTTGTACGTTGTGCAGGCAGGCGCGGGGCCTGTTGGCGGCGCACCACGCGAGGGCATCGTCGGTGCTGCAACGCGGCTCGGCACATTGCGGCGTCGTTTGCACGTTGCGTCGTGCTGTATCGCACCCTTGGGTGACGAAACAGCAGTGTCGCATCACGTGACTCCGTGATGCGCCTCGCCGCCCCCTGCATCGCCTCGCCACCCCCCTCTCATTGATTCCCGTCTGCCTCGCAGGTGGCAAGCATCCCCATAAACATGACCCTCCAGTTCCCCTCTCACAAGAAAAGCTTCGTGGCAAGTAGGGGCTTGCGCAGGGGCAAAATCGAGCCGGGGCTTGCGCAGGGGCAAAATCGAGCCCCTCACCCGTGTTGCGACAAAGCCGCCCCTCTGCACCGCTGCGCGCCGAGGCCGTCGCCCGCAGCGTGCGCACCTCTTACAATGCCCGCCCAGTTTCTGTTTAACTACCCCACCGCCGCCGCCCCCCCTTGCTGCGACCGCGC